CATTGTTAATTTAACTTGCGTAGAAAAGGATCTGGCATAAAACCGCTCCTGAATTATTATTATACATGGGGTAGTCATCGTCTTTATTATTTGATATGTTCCAACTGTGTTTGTTTCTAAAGAGAGATTAGTAAATGCTACAAATCCACAAAATGTCAACGCGAGCGGCAACATCTTCTTTAATGGTAAGTGTTTTGACTGAAAAACATCAGCTCGTTCACAAGCAAATAAACCGATTGAAGTAACAAACAAGTGAATGCATGTTAATGTGACATTTGGAAATCCGTATTGTGTATATATCCATTTGTTTATCAATATAATTGCAATGGATGAACACACGTTCGCCAATAAACCAAGTGAGACTGCTGTGTGTGTCGGCTTTTCCATTTTAGAATATCCTATTAAATTTTATATTTTTTTCTTCACTGTCAATCTTCAGTTTGACAATGGATTCAGTTATGTGTCTTTTACAAACGCCTAGAAGATTACATGATGATGAAGTAGCTCTTGCAAGATTGTTTTCTTTACGAATTCTTTGAGGTATAACTTACACACACAAAATTATTCTAATTAACAAGTACCACAACGTTCTAAAAAAACCCAACAATATGAGAGGAAATGTACCGACTGTTTCACGAATCCCTAGTTCGAACTCAACCAATAGAAAGAGCAAACAATACAGAACTGCAGTTAGCTATCAATACCACCGAAACAAGAGAATGTTGAAGATTGTATCTTGTGTGTTATTTCAAGGCTTATCTCGATTTTTCAGTAATCGGATGCTAAACCATTTCTTGTAAAAAAAATGAATTATTCAATAGCACAAATACGCGTACTAAACGTTCATAAGTGTTTCTACGAATCCCAAAATATACTGAAGGTCTACAGATATGAAACAACAATAATACACATGTATATGATACTGGAGTCAATTTAAATATCCCGGTTAATCCTGCAATTAATTATTTTGGGTCTTGACAGGATATGTGAGCCCATATACCTTAGATGTGCTGTTTACATCTCATCCAGGACAACTCAATAGATGTAAAACTATACCACCTCTTGGGAAGAGTGACCATGATATAGTTCTTCTTGACTTTTCAAACGGCTATAACAAAAACCTAACCAGCAAAAGAGAAAAATTTATCTATATATGGAAAAAAGCTAACATTGCCATGATAAATCAACACCTTAAAGAAAAATACAACATATTTAAGAAAACAGATTTTGAGGATGTTAACAGCCTTTGGACCAACATAAAAGGCTTGATTTTAGATGCCATCAACCAACACGTACCAACCAGGAACACATTAACAAAACATTCTCATCCATGGATGAACTCAGATCTTAGACGACTAAGTAATAAAAAGCAGAGGGCTTATACCCTGGCCAAAAGCAGTGGTAAAACGCGAGACAAGAAGAGATACAAAACTCTGAAAGCACAACTACAGAAGGAGTCTAGAAAAGCACACAGTACTTACATGGAAGATGTCGTAAGCAGCAACTTGGAGCAAAACCCTAAGAGATTCTGGTCATATGTGAAGAGCCGGAAACAAGATGCATCCCAGATTGTGACCTTGAAGTGAAAAGATGGCTTCCTTAATAGTGACACAGATACTAAGGCATCTATACTGAACCAGCAATTCCAGCCAGTGTACACCAAAGAAGATACCAGTACGTTACCTGACCTAGGTACCAGTTCACATCCCATCATGGAAAATATCATCATTCATGAAAGAGGCATCTACAAACTCTTAAAGGGACTACGACCATTCAAAGCGACAGGCCCAGATGAAGTTCCAGCTAATATCCTTAAACAGGCAGCAGAATCACTAGCTCCTTATCTTACCCGGATGTTTCAGCTTTCCCTGGACCAGGGTAAGATTCCAGATGAATGGCACAAAGCGAATATCGTGCCAATCTACAAGAAAGGAGAGAAACACCAACCCTGAAATTACAGGCCTGTCTCATTGACATCTATATCATGCAAACTGTTAGAACATGTCATACACCATGTACACAGCACAGTAATGGATCACTTTGATCGACACCACATTCTATGTGACTAGCAACATGGATTCAGAAGTCGCCGATCCTGTGAGACCTAATTAGTTGTAACACTAAACCAGATTGCCAAAAACATGGACCAGGGGCACCAGTCTGACATCATTCTACTGGATTTTTCAAAAGCCTTTGACAAGGTACCACACCAACGCTTGCTCTTAAAAATGGCACACTATGGGGTGGAGGGAACAACATTGAGCTGGATAAAGGATTTCCTAAGCAGTAGAACCCAGTCAGTTGTCCTAGAAGGACATGCATCTACTCCTTTAGATGTTCTATCGGGAGTTCACAAGGGACAGTCTTAGGTCCTCTCCTATTCCTGACATATATCAACGACATGCCAGATTGTACATCTTCAGATGTAAGAATGTTTGCGGACGATAGCCTGGTTTACAGGAAAATTAGAAATCCTGATGATGCAGCAACTCTCCAGAGAGACCTCACTACCTTGGAAGAGTGGGAACACAAGTGGCAGATGTGTTTCGATCCATTCAGAAAAGTGCACTGTCATTAGGATATCTAACAAGCGTCACACCATGCAAACAACGTACACCTTGCACGGACACAAACTAGAAGTTGTTGATAGCGGAAAGTATCTTGGAATTACCATTAGTCAAGACCTACAGTGGAATAAACACATTAATAACACCACCGGAAAAGCAATCAGGACCCTCGGTTTTCTCCGCAGGAACATTGGCCGTTGTAAAAAAATACAGCCTATTGTGCACTGATCAGACCATCGATCGAGTATGCTGCCACAGTGTGGGACCCCCATCATACCACCTTGATCAAAGACCTAGAACGGGTACAGCGCAAAGCAGCACGATTCGTATACAACCAGTACACAGACACTTCCCCAGGATGTGTCACTGGACTACTAGACCAACTCCAGTGGGATACCCTCAGCAAAGACGAATGAACCAGCGACTTGTCCTTTGCTACAAGATCAGAACCAACTAGTGGAGATACAACCAGCTATCTACTACACACCTGGGGACAGCAGAACAAAGGGTGGCCATAGAATCAGACAGATAAGAGCAACTAATTAAGTTTACAACAACTCCTTTTTCCCACGCTCTATAAGAGACTGGAACCTACTGCCAGACACAGTAGCAGCAGCACCAACACGTGCAGAGTTCAGGGCCAGATTAGCCAGTGTGCCCTGGACCCAGATGCAGTCTAACTAGACAACAGCTTGCCAATTTGTACAGTGTATATAGTTTTAATTATTTGGTTAATATTTACTTTTATTCAATGGAGAAGCCTCCTGTTTTACCGAGCAGAGTTAGTAAATCACTCAAGTATGAGGTCAACTCCTTACCAAAAGAAGAAGAAGTGAATAAAAACGAAGATCAAAATTGTGATTGATATTGAAATCAGGATACTCCAGTATAATATAATTGGTATTCAGGCTTCACAGTGGATTCCATGTCAGTGCCCTATGACTCGTCTCCTTCGTCTGGCGGCTCATGAGATATAAAACAGGCAGAGAATATGAGCCCATATCCCTCTGAAGATCCCGGATAACAAATAATGAAGCAACGGAATGAGAGTAAGCATCAAACAACAGACATATCATATATTGTATTACATATCTGATCAAATTCAACATTCCCTTTTATCGAAATAGCAACTGCAAAATAAATGCTTTATTTTACTTACGTCTACGTCATTTGGTTACTGGTGAGTAGTTGTCTCATTCGCAATCATACCACGTCTTCTTATTTTTATATATAAACTAGATAACATTGGCGAAAAAACGACTCTGCTTCACTTAATTTACAAGCATGCATCAAGTCGCGACGATGCGCGGGAAAACTCTAAAATGCGCGATGAGCAGAATTTTCACTTCTTTGAATTTAACCCAGACTTAGGGAAAAGTATAGACAATGCTATAATTTACGTACAGTAATAAATTCTACAGAAAATATTTTGAAGATGTACCCTTATCAGTAAACAAAAAAGCGATGGTTATGCGTTACTCAAATACTGTTATGTTAGTAACCAATTTTAGTAGGGATTGTTAAGACGCCTGTGACTTTTTAAGAATACGAACAACTGTGGCAAATTTAGGGCGTCTTTATTAAACAAGTCTACAATATATCAATTTGTAGAAAATAGATTTCCCGAAAAATGGCGCATTGCCCCTGAAAAATAATAAAAAGTGTGCCAAACAATGCTGCCTTACAGCAGGTCATTTACGGAGCATTCCAATAAGTTGTGGATGGTTTCTGTTCAATTTGAAGAGATACACGTCGACATTGCTGTCTCATTAACCTCTTTGTAAGTATTGTTTTCTTGAAGTAAGAAAAAATAAGGCTAATTGATCGGTTTTAAGGAAAAAAGTCGATATACAAACTAACCAAGTAATTGAACTTAAATCAAAGATGCAACTCCATCAGACAAAGTTCTCTACATTGAATATGACTGCATGTTCTACTTGGGCAGTTTCTTTTGATGGACAAACTTATGTTGTATGCATTAGGCGTTCCACAAATTTGGTACCGCAGCCTTTCGAATTGCAATTGGTATCATTATTCATACACTTAAGATACATAACTATTAAGAATTTTAAACAAAGAACAATATAAAAAAAATTAAGAATACCCGAATCATCCCCCTAAAAAAATCCAGCTCAACTGCTAATTGGGTGTTCTAAATTACAGCTTTAACTCGCTGTTTTAAAATCTAATAACAATGGGTATCTTGCTTTTCGTACACAAAGAAAATGTCATTTGTCAAATATCAATCATCAATCTCAATTGTTTGGTTTACTTGCTTAGATTCTGAAAAGTTAGAGTGATAAAAGTGTTACTACGTCTTTTCAATTAAATGATCACTCAAAAACCGACCGAACAGAAGCAGAGGGAAATGTTCCTATTAAATAAAGATGTAAAAACATATACTAATGCTTAACAAGGCACTCGTAAGACAAATTATTATAATTCAAAGATTTTATTGTTTAAATTAATTATATTGTCAGAACAGCTGATATGTGGATCATAATAAATTGGCGTTACTCGCATTCTTGTAGACAAGAATAGTTTCAACATTTCTATAAGATGATCCGGAGTTGTTCCCAAACGTATGGGCTAAAATGTTTCGTGTTTTGTCTGAAATGCTACTGTTTTATACATATGTACACGATGACAAAATTTAATCACAGAGTCATAAATTGGATTTTTGATTCAATTTTGTAGATGATATAATCGCTATTATAAGCAGACTGGTACTTCAAAAGCAATTTTAGATTCATATATATGCATAATAAAAAAATATATTGATACAATATTACATTTGTAAACTGTATGAAAAGGTACTAATAAACATTTCTAAATACAGATAAAGTTTTAGTGTCTTTCCAACCGACTACAACCACACGCATCAACCTTTCACAAATATGATACTAACACTTACTGTTAGTTTTGAATAACAGACACACTGTCATGCCTGAGGATTTCAAAATAACATTAAGATATTTTTAGGATACAAAGAAGTCTAAAAACTTATAACTACTTATACACATATATATGGTAGCTGATTTATGTCTGATGTCGAAGCAAAAGCATGTTTTAAACAAACAAATTCTTCCTTTTACACATTCAGCTGAAGACGACAACTCATGAATTATATTCTTTAAACATCATTTCTTTTCAAATAACCTGTAAAATAAATTAAAAAAATAATAAATAAAAACGAAAAGGGCAACATAACTTATTAAAAAAAACAAGAAAAACAATTTTGATGAAACGCTACCGTCACTTGAATTTAAAATGTACTGAACGATTGAACAAAGCCATTTCAGAGAAGTATTTGAGATTTTTTAGAACTTGGATTTGGTGACTACATGTACTCGTTTCATGCAGTTTCTTTTCCCCCATTGTTAGTCGAAACCTATTTCAGATGTCGAGGAGTTCGTGCATTAAAAATCACTTAAATAGTTTATTTCAAAATATCCATGATTAAATAATTTATATAAAATTTTACAAAGAGAGAGAGAGAGATCTTCAAAGAACTAAAATGATTTTTGGTCAAAATCTTTTTTTTTTGCAATTGTATTTCTATTTTCGGAAGAATTTGTGTTCCCGAGATCGATCATACCAGTGTTATATGCATTATATGCATTGATGCAAAGCAAAAGGGACCCAAAATTTAGGGAAACCTTAATAAAATACCATTTTCAATCTTAAATTTGTCCTTACAGGTAAAAGCGATCAGGATATTAAAGCAAAGTGGTAGAGAAAATTTCCTAAGTATTTGGTTCACTGCCATGGTCAAAATCTAAAAGTTGTCAAAGATACCAGGCTTATAATGTTGTACGCCAATTGTACTTGAATTGGAATATTAAAGAGTCTATATACTAAAAGAAACTATTTTTCAACAATTTTACATATTTCCATAAAATAAAAATGTTGATCAGCGCTAAAAGCTGCTGTTGAAGGTATGCAACGTTGCACGTGAAAGACAATATATATATATAGCCTTACTTTCGACAGAATTTCGGTTTTAATACACTTTTGGGATAAATACTCAAACTTTCCATAATCTGTGAAAATTCAGGCTTTGAGACATTTGAGGCATTTTAATTTGGTAATCTGTTTAGGTATGATACAAAGTATTGTCAGAAATTCAAAGTACACACATACGTGGAGCTGTGGTACTGTGAATTTAAGTAAAGACTGAAAGAAATTTTGTAAATGGCCATGATTTAAAATAAATCCAAGAGTAACTATGGCAACACACAAGAACGAAAGTGGTATATTTGTGGTATATTTGTAAATTTTTTTTAATTTTCCTAGTTTTGTATCAAGACTTGAGTATATTTTGGGTTGGAAAAGTATGTTTATACGCAAGAAACAACTGTCTCCATTATACATTTATCTCTGACCTGTACAAATTTGAAATAGTTAAAATAACTTAACTTCTTGGGTGAAAAACGACTTTAATACCCCCATCCTACCAAAAATAACCCTTTCTAAATTTCAAAAACCTAAATAACAATCAATTATAAATTCGATTAAGCTATCAGATGTTAGGAAGAGGATGACACGGAAGCAAGATTTTTATGGGAAAACTTTATATGGCCATAATAACCTGTTCAAGACATTTCTATTGTTATTCTAGGTACATCGATTCCATATATTCCATGGACTATCCCATCTTTTCTGGATCTTATTACCTGCTCCGAGTATTTGATATATCATTTATTTTGGTTCTGCTTATGTTCTTTTGGTTGAACTATCTACGTATCGCAGAAGGCCATTTTTTAAATTAAAGAGCATCTTAAAGAATTGGATGACAAAATGGATTCGAGACATTGATCTTAGGCAACATGACAAAACTCTCTTGTGATAGTGTACCCTTATTCCAGACATAAAATGCGTGAGGTGCAGTTCAAATTACTTTATCATTTTTCTACTTTATGGGCTTCGATTTCCGCTTATAATTGATATGTGCAGATAATTAGTTCTTTTCTATGGATATAAGATGCTTTAGTCATATGTATTATCATTACTGGTATTTATTTCCAACAAAACATTTGGTAAAGCTTCCCAATTACTATATTAACCTGTAGGAATTAAAATTGTAAAAATAAGTAGAAACATACGACCAGGAAGACCTCTGAGTTGATGACCTGTAATTTTTTCCTCGTACAACAGCGTTGTACGGAGGCACCGCATATTTCTTCATATCAAAAGCTTGCAGTCTTGCTCTCATTATAGCGTTTTCTTCCTCGCTGCTTTGAAGTTTTTCTTGTAAAGCGACATTTTGGTCTCGCAATTCTTCATTATTCTCTTCGATTTCAATCAATTTGCTTTCTAGTTTCGCTTTATCTTTTTCAAGGGAAGATATCAAGTCAGTCTGATTGTCTAAATCTTGCTGAAGTATGCCTATTTCTTTGTCATGATCTATCTTGGAACGTGCAATTTGGTCCTCTAGTGCTTTTATCTGCATTTCGAGATCTCTCTTCTGCTTCTCCGATGTTTTCATATTCTGCTCTAATCTGATCTTTTCTTTGTTAATTGATTTTAACCTTGCTAGCCTTTCTTCGTGGTCCTCCTTAAGAGTGTTCAATATCCCCTGCAGTTCTTTATATTCGATATTTTTGGTTTCCAATTTCTTTTCAATGTCACTTTTCTCTTTTTCTTTCTCTTGGACAGCTTTACTGATTGCATCCGATTTTTTGCTCAATTCCTCAAGCAAGAAATTGTTCTTCCGTTTGATATCTGCATACTCTTTTTCCTTAGATGCCAAGTTAGTCTTTAACTGGTCGACGTTATTGGATAGTTCGTTTATTTTCCTTTTAAGTTCTGTGCGCTCAGCTTGTACTTTTTCAAAGTTTGTCCTTAAGTCAGTATGTTGTCTTTTGAGATCTTTCATTTCTTCTCTGTCCTCTTTACGTTCTGTTTCTAGATTTGCACGAAGCTGTCTCAGTTCTCCTTTAATTTCATCTTTCATTTTTTCTAGGTCAGTTTGCTTAACAGAATCATCATTTCTAGCATCCGATGATGCAGAAGATGACAATGATGGGTTATTGTATGAGTCTACGATATCGTCTTTCTGCAATACGAAAATGTTAAATAAGAATAGTAGAAATAGTTTTAACTGCAAGAGAAACACGTATAAGAAAAAGTTAAAAGAAGCTGACTAAAGGTAACTGAAGTTCGATTATTGAGTGGGTTGCTCACCCAATTTTGTCAATATAATGTAACTATAAACAGCTGTCATACAAGTGGGAGGTTCAGCTAGCTATAAAACCAGGTTTAACCAACCATTTTCTTTGGAAAATGAATGTCTCTACCAAGTCAGGAATATGATAGTTGTTTTCCATTCGTTCCGTTAGCTGATAAAGTGTAATGTTTGATTTTATCAGTGTTTAAGGACTTACCCTTTTTGAATTTGCCTTGGAGTTTGGTAGTTTTGTTAATACTTTTTTATGCAAGACTTTAAAAGACAAGATCTGATAGGACATTCAATGTTTCTCCTTTTGCATACCGATAGCATCTCCGAACGATAAGTACAGAATGATTGAACCTTACTAACCATTATCTTATCAGAGATCCTTCTAATTGCAAGGGACCTTATGTAACAGTAGTAAAAGGAAAATTACTGTATAGAACTGTCTAAGATAAATTGTTATATTTTACAACTTAAGATCGTTACCAGAAAAGGAAAATAGATCGAAAGTTGAAAAAATGCAAAAATTCACGTATCAAATATTATTGAATAATACCAATTTCTTCGGTTGTCCTTTAGTAAGGATATACACATGTTTTATTTTATCTATTTACATAGGATAGGGAGCTTGAGATCTTACAGTATGTTGAAAACATGCTAATTTGTATTATATTCATTCATTTATATATCTTCACTTATTGAATGATTAGAACAATCATTTCATGTTTAGTTCAATATTTGATATTGTTGATGAGGAATATGTTGCACTATTTTAATCATTAATGTTCATTGTTTGAACTTTTTAAGCCACTAGTGCTGGAATGGCAAAAATTGAAGATCATTTGAAAAAAATTACTTTAGGATGCTGATCTTCAGATATTTACGTCAGATACATTAGGGTAACACAATCGTCCATAAACATTGCTAGTAGAAAGGGGGCGAAAGATTACAGAGGGATAGCAATATAACGTTGCTTGTAATTTAGGTATCCAATAAAGTGAAGAAAGATTCAGTTCTTCATCTTTGGTTGGAATTCCAAAGGAACATAGATCAGACCTACAATTATTCAGTATTTCCTCCATGGTAAGTGTCGTGGCGGTGTATGTTATGTTTCCATGTGAATTGTCAATACCTAATTCCTTTATCAGGCAGTTTATGTTATGTAATTTACACACATAAACGATATTGTTTGGGGCTTTATCTGCGTGGACAACATTATATATGGCATAGAGGTAGGATAGGTGCATAGCAACATTTGGGTCTTAGCAGATCGATTGAGCATGTGTATTCATAGACCCATTCAGTTTTTCAATTCGTATCAACGACTTCACAGCCTTAACCCATTTGGAAAGAGTATCTACATTTTCTTTTTTGGCGTTTAACCCATTGCTGGCATAATCCTCGACTAAATCCATCAGTGTTTTGAAGTTGTGTTCCTAATTGATGGATTTAGGCTCACGAAATTTCGGGCCTTTGAATAACACATTTCGATTCGAAGTGTTATTGACAATGTTCAGATCGCAAGTAATAACGTGGCCAGCCGAATTATATAGGAATGGGAATCTAGCACAGGTACAATCATGAGGTTTAGAATTGAAGTCCTCAATATTGAGATCCTACAATAATAATTGGTTCGGTATAGGTATAAGAAATGATAGATAAAGATTGATCTTTAAATTAGGGAGGTATTTTCGAGTGAACTGATTTATGATGAAGGATATTGCCCAAGTTGATGGCATCGATACCTTTGTTTGCATAGGAAGTTTTTAGAAAGGATCTTTTGTCCTATTTATTTTTCCAATGCAACTCGGTCTGAAAAGTCTGTGACTGGCAATATCCGAGATGATATTTGTTTGAATGGAGGTTTGTAGTTAAGTAAGAGAGTTTAAGTAAATGTTAATTTAAAAGTTTTCATAATGCATTTATATTTCTATACAATATTGTTTGACTAATGATTTCATGAATGTGTTTATTTTAGCTTTGCTTTTATGATTTATTTTTATTTATTTTGTTATAACTTTATTGATGGTTTTCCATTACGTTACTATCTGAGTTTTGGGACATTTATGAAATTTTATCACTGGTTGTTTAACAAATTTCGCTCATTCTCAATAAGATTCATTGAAATTCATTCCACCACCAATTCAACATCGACACCAATCGGCTTCATCATAGCCCCAATTTCCTAATAGCTTCCTTATAACCATATGGAACCATAGTTTCAGACTCTTTTATTCGGAGCCATCGTTCCTATTGGATTAGTGTATTGTCAAGCCAGGTCTATGCTTTTCTACTTTTCAGTACGTATTTGGCTCGTAGTTTACGCATGGAGAAACATTTATATTTTTAGAAGAGTAGATTTCCTAAAGGCCAACTTATGTGATGAATATCAAAATAATAAAAGTTTTATTTCACGTATGTTTTATGTTTTATGATTCACTCAAACCTGATACCACGGGCACTGATACACACTATTTACACAAGATTTTATTTACAACCTGTTTGAACCATAAGTTTAAATTGTTATGTTGATAATTTTATATAATAAGCACTTACTATTTTATTTTAAATATCGTAAGTTCAATTGGAGAGTTTTGAAAGAGATCAGGAATAAAAAGAAAAAGAAGTGAAATGGACGTCACACTAAACTCCGAAACATATAAATGAACCAAAATTAAAAAAACATACAAGACTAACAAAGGCCAGAGGCTCCTGACTTGGGACAGGCGCAAAAATACGGCGAGGTTAACCATGTTTTGTGAGATCTCAACCATCCCCTATGCCTCTACCCAATGTAGAATAAACAAACACACGGCCACGGCAATACCCACAGTAAAACTCAGCTTAAAAGAAGTCCGAGTCAGAATAGGTAACAGAAGAAACTAAGCAAAATGACAATGATACATTAATTAACAAAGGACTACTAGCAGTTACTGACATGCCAGCTCCAGACCTCAATTAAACTGATTGAAAGATTATGTCTTCATCATATGAAAATCAAGCACAATCCCTCCCGTTAGGGGTTTAGTACCATCATAAAATATATGAGAAGAACATAACCCGTATCATGCCATCAACTTGTTTTAGAATAAATGTGTGTATTTCCGATGCAAAGACCATATGAGTGAATCAATATTAATTCCAAAATATGCCATCTTTAATGACCTGACAACAGTATCGTAACTATATCCCTTCGGAATAAGTCTGTTTAAATAAGATACTTACACAGAACAAGGAGAGACACAGTATAAATAACAGGCAATCAGATATTAATACAATATGACAATATACTAATATTTATTATCAAGAGTGTACTAATAAATCTTCATATAAAGAACCACTCAAACATGGAACGAATGTCAGTTAAACATGTTCAGGATCATATCTGAGAATTTTGCATAAACATGTAATAAAAGTAATAAACAAGCATTGATATTTGGAAATCTTTGATAAATGCAGTTTATATTTTTCTTGTTTTTCTAATATAACATCGGTTAATAATACATGTATTTTAAAACATGTTTTTTTCAAAACATATAATGTAAGTCGTTACTTACGACCACTGGAACTTGCTTAAATCTTGTAATAGTTCCTCGTTTATCGGCTATACCTGAATAAGAGAGAATACTTTAAAATGTGTAATAGAAGAGAAAAGATAGACAAGAATATTCAACGAAACAACCGCAATGGCATTGACTGTGATCTCAACGTTTTTGTTAGTTCAAAAGAACCTATTGAATTTGCCAGGAAGGTGTGCGTATTTATATGTGTCAGAATGTAAGATCAATACATTCGATATACGTTAAAAATTACCCTTTTCAACTAGTAATTTTATACTGATTTTATTCTACGCTTTACAAACTAACCGGCTTTTAATTTGGAACTTTGACAATAAAAAAAAATTATATTTGTGCATGTCATAGTCTAGTTTTGTTTTTGTTTTGATTTAAAGAAAGAAAAGAAATACTTGTATTCAATTTCGTTTCAAATACCATTTGAGATTATATTACATAATGTTGCAACATATCAAGGCCTGTGTGAAGTTTTTGTCTTTCCTGAAAGTAGGACATTTCTTGTTCTCTTTATAAATTTTCAATTAATAAGCATAAATAAACGGGACAATGGTTCAAATTCTTCTAAACAGATTTGTATTGTTACTAATATTATTTTCAGCTGTTTGTGTATCACTCAGATTTGGATTACTTTGGTAGGTGATGCATACTTAGGAGGAGACGCTTATCATCTCGACACAACCAGTCTCACTCCTTTTGGAGTTCATGCGATTCTCTCAGTTTTTGTTTGTTACCTATATTTGTATATTATTAATCGATTAATGAGATTTGAACATTGGCAAGTTAACTTTTGTTGCCATAATTTATAAAACAACGATTTAACATGCTTTATCAGTTTCCCAAATTTACAAAGATTTCTGATTTGGCCCCAATAGATTATATTTATCTTTAAAAAGTAGTCAAGCATTGTAGTTCTACAAATGAAAGCCATAAATTATCTGTGAGCTGAGCTGACAAATTTATACCACCTCTTCCTCATTTGTGCGGATATAACTGTATCCATGTTTTTCGATGGAAATTTCCAAAATCCATTCCGTAAACAAACTAATTTAGAGGTGCACACAAGTAATAGGTGCCTAAATTTCCATGAAAGTTTCGATTTGTTCGAAAGTTTTGTTTAGAAAGAACAATTTGTTTACATTCTTTATCTTCTTTTTTTGTTTGAAAGCTTACTCATTGACAATCATATCACTTCTTATTTTTACATTTAATTATTGTAGCAGTATATAAGTAGTATTATGTAAAAGTTTCACTAGAAACAAGGGTAAAGATGAGTTACGAATACAAAATATTAATACAAAAACAGAAGAAAAAAACAAACACAATCCCATTTAAAGTATGACAATTGCATAATTTTGCGATTTAACCTTGATGGTTTGGTATGTACTACCTGTTTTGTTATCAAATTTAACTGGAGGATAAAGCCATTAATTAGCTTTTGTTATTTAGATAATACGTACATGAACTGCTGAATGTAGTTTCTTATTACATACAACATGTAGGACTTCTTTATTAAGACATCAAACAAAGCAATGATAAAAGCTTAAAAAACAGAATACAAACCTAAAAGCGAATGAGGACAATTTTATCCACGCACAAAAGAAATCAAGAGGAATCCACCAACGTTCAATCAGTCAATGGCAATCGAAAGAACAGTGGTGCTAGTTTGATTAAATCGGATGCACTTATAGAACTGATAGTTATTAAACAGGGAGAAACGGACAACAGTGATCGAAGTCTTTATTGGACACTATGAATCCAGAGAACATTGATGGAAGTCTTTATCGGACAAAGGGAATCCAAAGAACAGTGATGAAAGTCTGTATAAGACAGGTGGGTTCCGGAAAACAGTGATTTGTCTGATGTGAGAAATAAAGAAATTATGCAAGTTTTTACATTACCGGTAATGGGAAGTCATAAAAACAATGAAGGAAGTGAAGTCAGACATAAGAGATAAAAGGGACGATAATATTATTAACTGCAAAGCCTATCGTCATCTAACGAGGAATTCACAGTTATTGTTCCTTCAAAGTTTCAAAAGAAGGACCATTTGTAGACAGAATACATTGTTCATACATCATTTTGCAAAGCGGTTTCTTGATTTTAAGACACTGAATTTATAAAGAATGGAAATACCTCACTGCTGCCTTGGTCGTTTAGTTTTGACTATATTGAAAATGGAAATGTCAAACTTCTAGAAAGAAAAAAAATCTCCAATTTCATGATTAATAAAGTAAGCACTATTTCATAAGAACGACCATTTGTATCCCTTTTTGTTTTCATATTGTACACTTAGTATATTACAATAAATGAAAGTAAACAGGATATGTTTTTGTGTTTTTTTTTTTGTGTCTTCCATATCCCCTTTATTCAAAGGTAACAGACACAGTGGCCCTTTTCTTGGTTTCCTTAACAAGAACTTACCAACGTATGTTGTTGAAGGTGCTTGAACTGAAATTTTTCCTTCAAGCTCATCTGCAACGTGTTTGTATCCACGTTTTCTCAATGCTTTTAAAAATATAAATACAGAATCTTGTTTAGACTTGAGTATTATATACAGTAGTTCTTCCATACGTTCTGGTTCCGTCATTCTTCTATTCTTCAGGTCCATCCATTGGTCTACTGATATCACATGGTTTTCAATCAATGGGTCCACAATATGATTGAGAACCACGGATTGCTTTACAAGTCCCCAGTGTTTTGTAAGAATATCCTGTTCCTTTGGTCGATGGTTTATTTTCTTCATAGTTTCTATGTCTGGATTAGCTATAAACACATATTTTTAAGCTTCTAAATGTATCTTTTCTTCCTTTATCCAATATTAATCATTTCTAAAGTATAATATCATCATTACCTGCAAATGTTTGATCGGAACCAAAACATGTTACAAGGTAAAACGGGTTATAAATTTCTTATGTGTTTAATGAACAACTTGCATTATAATTGTGATGATAAAGGCATACAACACTTAATTCAATATTTGGTGACTATGTTGAACGCATCTATCCCATCGAACTTGAGATAAAGGATATAACAGATACAGTTAAGTCTGCCTCATATCTTGACTTACATCTAGAAATTGACAATGACGGTCGGTTGAAAACAAAAATTTATGACAAAAGAGATGATTTCAGCTTCCCAATTGTAAACTTTCCATTTTTATGTAGCAACATTCCAGCAGCGCCTGCATACGAAGTTTATATCTCCCAGTTGATACGATACTCAAGGGCTTGTATTTCCCATCATGATTTCCATGATAGAGGGTTGCTGCTCACAAGGAAGCTATTAAACCAAGAGTTCCATGTGGTGAAGTTGAAGTCATCCCTTCGTAAATTTTACGGACGCCCTCACGAGTTGGTTGACCGTTACGGAATATCCGTTTCACAGATGATAGCGGATATGTTCTTAATGTCGTAACTACAATCCCGTCCCCTTTTCCCGAATGTGACATACCGAATTAGACCTATTACCGGCTTTGTACTAACATGAGCAACACGACGGGTGCCACATGTGGAGCAGGATCTGCTTACCCTTTCGGAGCACCTCCCTTTCGTAACAAATGCTGAGATCACCCCCATTTTTTGGTGGGGTTCGTGTTGCTCAGTCTTTAGTTTTCTATGTTGTGTTTTGTGTACTATTGTTTGTCTGTTGGTCTTTTTCTTTTTTAGCCCCGGCGTTGTCAGTTTATTTTCGACTTATGAGTTTGAATGTATGTCCCTTTGGTATCTTTTGCCTCTCTTTTAAGAGAACTACAATTAAATTATTTTTTTATTACATAAATACTCCCTTACCAATCACGATTTATACAAAGACTCATTTGAAATAAAGGTTAAACTCTATAAAAACAAAACTTCTCCTGTATCTCATTCTATAATTATGATTTACAGTCAAAAAATTCTAGAGAAAGACAAATGGACAAATATATATGCTATATGCGGTTTGCCTTTATCTATGACCATTCTAGACAGGAGTTTTTAGTTTTAGTTTGTAACCCGAATTTGTTTTTTTCTCAATCGATTTATGAATTTCGAACTGCGGTATACTACTGTTGCCTTTATTGATATTGGTTTTGCATTAACTGGTGTTTTTCATTGATGAGTTAAACCATTTCCAACTGATATTGTCAGTTTGTTCTAATGTTATACTATTGCACAACTGCCACAGGTTAAGGGGAATATTAGGTGCTCACAAAACATGTTTATCGCCGCAATATTGGGCATATCCATGCCAAGCGCCTGTAGTCAAGTGTGTGTTGTTAGTCGGCGATTGTTTTAATTGATCTTCATATATTTTCATTAACTTAAATCATGCCGTTACTTTTTTGTCCTTGTATTGTTTCACATTTTGTTGTCCTTGGAATTTCTTAGCCAACTTTTTAGTAGGTTTTTTCCTAATTGTTGAAGGTCATACGGTGCCCAGAGGTCGATTCACATTCTTGTCCTTTTATGCTTCGTTGGAAAGATGTATAATTGCCAATCGTACTAGTCTTCAAGTTTTTATATCTAGGTTATTTTATTTCACATAAAACGATCAAACTATTATTTGTTTGCCTAATATGATTATAAAGGACTTACGAAAAACTTCGATGATTGCCGTTTGAGGGAGCTTTTTAGCCATTCGACACTTTCTTACTTAAAATTGTAACAGGTTTGGGACGACTTAATGTTGAAACCTGGAAGAGAAAACATGTTAATCATCGATATTTTGCCGGAAGTATTTATCTATTTTTTTTATTGAATATCATCGATTTGATTATTCTTTCAGTGACTTTTAAATCAGGATGTCATTTAATCAAATTTTCATCAATAATGCATCAAGCAGGAAAGGAAGAACTTACCATATGAGCTTACTTCACAAAGTCTTTCCAATGACAATTTTGTTTCAAAAAAAATTGGCACTAGTTTTGTTATGAGTCAAAATACAGTTCTCGGTTAATCTTTGATCTTCGTACTTAATTACTTTCTGTTAAATGAAGAGGAAACACTCTTTTGTTGTTGTGGTGTCGTTTTTTTAATATCTTTTGTGTTTTTTTCCCTCTGTTAAGCATACTGACATAAAACTAATGTGCATAGTTCGATTCGCTTTATTATTCTATGACATTAATTTATCAAATGCCACACTAAATGTATTATTTTTGTGGTTCCTTGTGAGAACCACTGACACAAAAAAATTGACAGGACTCTGTTTTGTTTCTTTTTTTTAAATACATGTATTGTGGTCATGTGTTAGTATTAAGACACACCAATGATTTACTATAATACATGATTGTCACACGCCGGTACTATAAAAAGTTTGATTCAAACTAATTAGTAATATGTGTTTATCATTATGATCAATTAACAAATCCCTGTTCTGCAATATCTATATACTTTTATAATATTTTAGAGTCCTGTATATGTATACGTGTACAAATGTATATTTAGATAATAAAAAAAATATTGAAAAAGGCAGCTGTCAGGTCAGGGTAAAAGTTTTGTTTTTTATTGGTTTTGTTTTTTTCTTTTTGTTGTTGCTTTTTGCAGTCAATTGTGTTTTAGTCTAAAAGGTATGTGTTTGAGACTGCAATTTTAATAAAAATGTATTACAAAATAAGAGGTGACGTACCGGTATATTTTAATGCATGTTTGGAAGAATAACTGAATGATGAATACAAAAGTAGGTCATCGCTTCACAAGTAAATTTTTAACATCTTGAACAGTAATGTCTTGGTGAACATATTTTTATGACGATTCTGAAGTGATATATATATATATATGACCTGTTAGTCAAATGCGTTTTGTTAAAATATACTTTTTCACTTTTTTTGTCTTTTGGAAAATGTTGTTTGTGCTGTATTTAGACCCCTCTACCAAGAAATTTGTTTTGCATGCACACGTATAAAAATTGCGGTTTTTATCCAACGCAATCATAGGTTTGAACGTTGTTTTCAATTTAGACTTGTTTATATTGTTTAGTTTGGGCTTGTATTATATTTTCCTGCGGGTTTATATGATCCGTTCATCCTATTTCGACTCTTAAAATTCAAGAGTCTGTCCTAAATTGAGGTAAATTATATGGCCTTCCAAATACCGTTTCGATTCCTAACATCACTGAAGAGACATTAATTGTCGAAATCCGGATATGGTGTACCAATTTTTGCACCTCGTGTTTGCGGTATACTATCTTTTCCGTAAGTTTATTGTTTTCTGTTTGGTATAATATTAAAAATTAAGATTCATTTTGTTACATCTAGCAATCCGTTTATTTGGCAATCGCCATGGCAGTCAGCAGGGTTTAAGAACATCCGTTGTTCGACCTGTTGGTCAAATGCGTTTTGTTAAAATATACTTTTTTCACTTTTTTGGTCTTTTGGAAAATGTTGTTCGTGCTGTAATTAGACCTCTCTAACAAGAAATTTGTTGTGCATGCACACGTATAAAAATTGCGGTTTTTATCCAACGCAATCATAGGTTTGAACGTTGTTTTCGATTTAGACTTGTTTATATTTTTTTCTTTTGGGCTTGTATTATATTTGCCTTCGGGTTTATATAATCCGTTCATCCTATTTCGACTCTTCGAAATTCAAGAGTCTTTCCTTAATTGAGGTAAATGAAATGGCCTTTCAAATACCGTTTCGATTCCTAACATCACTAAAGAGACATTAAATGTCGAAATCCGGATATGGTGTGCCAATTTTTGCAGCTCATGTTTGCGGTATACCATCATTTCCGCAAGTTTATTGTTTTTCTGTCTGATATCAAATTAATAATTAAGATCCATTTTGTTACATCTGGTGATCCGTTTATTTGGCAATCTCCATGGCAGTTAGTAGTGTTTAAGAACATCCGTTGTTCGACCTGCTAGTCAAATGCGATTTGTTTAAATATACTTTTTCACTTTTTTGGTCTTTTGGAAAATGTTCTCTAAAGATTTGCACAACGGTACTAATATAAGATGGTAATATACGATGATGATCTTATAAAATCGTGTTGACATATATTTCGGCTTAACAAATAGCCTTCGTCAGTGTCAATTATATATATGTAATGTATATCAATTAAAAGGTGTAGTTATAATCGCGCAGTTTTATTCATTTGGGTTGTATAACTAAGCAATCTCTGTTGTAATTCCTTTACCATTGTCAACACTGAAATTCTAGATTTATATCAGTTTAAATAGCACAGTGCTATCTTTTTGAGATGTATAAATACGCCGCCTTCGTTGTAATTACTTAACCTTCGTCTACTTTGAAATTCAAGAATTATACCAGTTCAAATCGAACAGTGTTTTTCATTATGGATGTATAAATACGCAGCCTCTGTTGTTACAGTTCTTACTTTACCTTCGCCAACTTTGAAATTTTAGAATTATACCAGTTCAAACCGTACTGTGCTTTTCATTGGGGATGTATATCTACTCAGTCTCTGTTGTATTAACTTAACTTTCGTATACCAGCGTGGTTCGGTTTTTAATTTGAATAACGTAAAGATTGTTTAGTTAAATCAGAATAGATTGATATGATTCATTTTACATCATCATTAGCATACTGATGTATATAATATATATATATATATATAATTGCCTAACAATGTTATTTTAACACACCATTAAGTATGCAAATATTAAAATGTTAAAATTATTTACAATGCGATAAAAAATAAACGCAATAAAAAAAATAAACATATTTAGACTGCAATGCTGATTGAATGTTGTATAGATCGAGTTGAGATCATATAAATCATATAAATCTAGTGTTGTTACTTTTCTTGCAAATGTTGTAGAAATATATGATGCTGGTTAATCCATACGTTATATATCATTTTACTCCATGCGTTTAGATTGAAAGCTATTCGCTAAATATGTGTGTATACTATTTCAAACACTCCGCAAACTCAGAAAATGAAAACATTGAGCTTTTAGGTGAAAACTTGATAAATGGATTAATGGATTTTAAAATTTGCACAAAAAATCATTGTACACTTATTATAATTATCTGTTTATATTTTCTCACTATACACATATGATATTTAATTGTTTGTACTTGCATGATGTTTGGTGTAGATTAATTGTTTTTATTGTATTATTATGCATCATGCACATTATGAATGTATTAAATAACACCGTTTAACATAGTATGTATATATGTTCAGATTATCATTAGTTTGTTGTGCGTTACGATTTTTTGGTCATACTCATTTAAAACAAAAAGATGATATGTTCAATGTTTGTTTTGAATTGTAATATACCACTTTTTACTAAAGTCGGCAATTCTTTTATATTCAAATGTAGATAATCTAGAGTAGACTTCGTAGAAATAGTTTATGGGAGGTTCTGTATAAAATCATCAGTTTTTTTATTCTCTTTTTCTTTTTTCGATTTGTGAAATACGTGTTTGTTAAAGGCATATTTTCAAGCTGTCCTATTCAATTCTTATATTTCTTCTTCGTTAAAAGTGTGAAGGCAACTCTTTTCATACTCTATAAAATGAAAGGGAGATCCTTTTAATAGATATAAGAAGATGTTGTATGAGTGCCAATGAGACAACTCTCCATCCAAGTCAAAATTTATAAAAGTAAACCATTATAGGTCACAGTACGGTCTTCAACACGGAGCCTTGGCTCACACCGAACAGTAAGCTATAAAGGGCCCCAAAAAATCACTAGTGTAAAACCATTCAAACGGGAAAACCAACGGTCTAATCTAAATAAAAAACGAGAAACGAGAAACACTTATAAACCACATCAACAAACGACTCATTTCGAACAGATAAGCATACTTGCGACAATGACGCTGATCCAACCATAAAATGTAAATGCGCGGAAGGCTTTTATTAAAAAAAAACTGACGGAGAGGGTTTCTCTGCTCTTTTCACTCCTAGCCATTAACGCCTGGTCAATTGTATCATTTATGATGTTTCCACAATTTGAGAATTAAGTTTGTTCATACTTTTTGTGTCAATAGACAGCAATACTCTACCAAAATAACAAGTATACATAAACTAAATGTATCTAGAAGTTAGCATAACATTTATTGTAAACAAATCTTTATTATGAAATGAAATGCAACTTGTGCAATATGACTAATATAATAACAAATTGGATTTAAATTGTGTTTGTTTATTAGTTGTTTCGCTTCCGCTTAAATTGTGTTGTATTTTATTTACACTAATAAATATTGTGAAGAATATTTTGTAAAAGATCTTATTTTGGTGCATTTTTATATCTTTGTACAAAGAAAAATCATATTGCTTTTGAAAATAAAGAATTTTATTCTTCCTGCTGGTGACACTGCTGCGATTATAACAAAGAAATCAATATTTTCCACAGTGACAATTATGTAACATTAAAAAAGCTACCAGTTTGTGTCCCATTTACAAAAAAGACTGTATGACTGTGTTGTTAGTGGGATTTATTTGAATCAAGGTTGCTGTTGATTTCTCCTTCATGCGTCTGTATCTATGGTAAGAGAAGTCCAATCCTTCTTCAACCCCAATTGTTTTTGTAGGCCAATAGTGACTGATACACGTGTTTGTCCGATTTGTATATTAATGACATATTGGCATGCATTGTACAATCGGCAAAGTAATGCCCATCCTTGACTTTGCACTTCAAAAAAAGTCTTTTTATAAACGTAGAAAATAGAGGATAACACTCCACATCTTAAGTTAGAGTACCGGAGTTGTTTAATAGCCTGGCCGGTTTCGGTTGGTTTACAGACCTTCATCAGAATCAGTAAAAGTAATTATTACCTAGCCAAACATAAATTCTTCGTCTGGGTGCTTTGAAAATGGTTTGCATTGTTAAGGAGTATAGAAATAATATCTCCTCTGATATTGTTATGTAATTTGAGCCTAAATTAGTCTCCTTTTTAAGTGTGTGTGTGTGTGTGTGTCAATCTGAAATCATCGTGTCTAATGGGATCAT